TTGGTTCGCATCGAGTTCTTTTCTTGGTCACGGCCCTTAACACACATCGTTAAGCGCCGACTCCACGCCTATTCTTGCCACAGCGGATTGCATAACTTCATACGAACGGCTTGGTCCGAATATTGTATCGCACTTTCTCGTACTATACCCGGTGTTCTCTTCAATATTCGCTTCGGAGTAAGCTTCCTGTTGCAGTCCTCTTTAGACTTGTTCTCTTCCGAGTTGGGCACTGTGGGCTCGTGTTAGAATTGACCGGCATTTTGGTCGGGTCTCTCTTGGCAGGTACACTATCGAGTTGGGACCGTTTATGGTATCAGGCATACCACCGGGTATCTTTCGATATTGCGTCAACAACCAGATCGCAGGATTGCGATACGCCACAAACACGCCGTATACGGTGACCTATCTGTTCGCAGACTACATCCCACCTTTTTTTCCTTTGTCCAGTACCATCATCACGAAATGTAACCTTTGGGTTTCTCTGTTGGCTATCAGAATGTTCACGTATACCCCTGTTTACCCATTTTTAGATGGGCCATTCCTTTCGGCATCTCACTCGGCTTTACATTCGGCATCGCTTGTTAGTCTGCTCCATCGGCAAACTATCGTTCTTTCTATTCTCAGATCTGTACATACTTTTTAGGAGACGGCGATTTTGCATTATGGAGTATCTTCGGTGGCGGAGGAGGGGAACGGGGGAAGCTAGACGGCATGGGTTAGATGGCAAGCGAGCAGGTAACCTTGCGCTTGCGGCAAGGCCGTTGCATCGGCGTGATGTTTGTATACAAAAGATCGCCCGTTAGACATGGTGTCGGATGTCCACTGCCCCGTGTTTAGTGCACTTGGCGGGTGATCGCCTACGTCTTTCCCTATCCAGTAGCGAGGCCTACTCCGACCAATATCACCCTGTTTGCATGCACACTATACATCACTCTTGCACCTTGTTCTTTTCTTTTCTCATTATTAGACGCGACTATGTATGCAGGAGTACAAGGGCGGTGAGAGGCGGGCCTTGCAGCGCAGGGTGTTTCACCTTTGGCCTTGCAGTAGTGGCCTGATTGGGATATTTCGAATGTGTTGGTCTTTGCGATGATCGGTCGGAATGTGGAGGCACTCTGGCCACATAAGGTTATGCATACGCGGATGTGCCGATGAAGTTGTGTAACTGTCTGTTTCCTTCTGCTCGCACAGGGCGAGTGGATGTGTTTGCGGAAAGAGAAGCGTCCTTTGCAAACTTTGTTGGCGAATTGGGATATCGGCAGTGGCGGTGTGAGGACTGAGGTTCTGCTGCCAATCGGGTGCCTTTGGTTGAATGTGTAAGTATTGAACATAAGATGCTTTTTTATCATTGACCGGCACTTCAACGCAAGAATTGAGGCCCTACTATAGCTTTGCCGAGACACTCAACTGCTCCATGCTTCAATCATGGTATGCTCTTTACTTAGCAACCTCAATACCTTAGTAAAAGAAAATTGCGCCTTCAACTCATCGTACCTAGGTACGACGTACTACACCATTGCATAAGTTGATCAAACTGTAGTTGAGTGTATGTGAGAGACACAACATCTCTTATGTAATTCGACAGAGAGTCGGATGCGTTATCGTAGTACTGCGGTTGTTGGTGGAGCTGAGCCAACCGATTTCAACTAGGAGATGATTGCTCGCAGTGAGACGGATAGCTCTGATCTGCCAACGACGAAAGACTCGAGATATCACCTTTCCAAGCGATATATTCGTGGAGTAAAGGTGCCGTTTTGCAGCCACGAGAAGGAAATGCTTCTGCGACGGGTTAGCACAAATCAGCCACAGCCTCTGCCCCGCCTCGTGGCGCATGCGAGGACCCCACCTTGATGGTCCGTGGTTCGCCGTCACTGCAGCCTGACGGTTCCGCCCAAGCAAACTCACAACCACTTTGCTGCCTATAACTCTTTGCGCCGTCGCGTCCTCCCACCTACACCTACATTTGCATACTAAGCTCACGAGCTCATCTCCAAGTTCTACATACCGCCGACGCAGCTCCACGAGACTTGCCACAGCTGCATCCGCTACACCGAGACAGCTACTGAAGCGCGAATAAGAGAAGAATAGACAAGATGCAGATCAAGTACGTCATATCAACCCTGGAATATGGCTGGAAGAAGAAGTAGGGAGATAAATTACTAACACTGGGACAGAGTACGAACCCTCACCGGCAAGGAGATCGAGCTCGATATCGAGGCAGACTACAAGGTACGCCTATCCGAATCTGTCGCCGCATACCTAAACTAGATCGGCTTTAAATGGCCTCAAGCTTCAAGAGCCATGTATAGCGAGTTTATAGGGCGAGAAGCTGACGGCACACAGGTCTCAAGGATAAAGGAGCGCGTCGAGGAGAAGGAGGGCATCCCGCCAGCGCAACAACGTCTTATCTACGGAGGAAAGCAGATGTATGTCTTTTTTCTCCCTCACACACTTACTACCATATCCACATATTCCCCAGGTTCTTGTTCGCGTACATGACGCACCTTATATCAAGCTAACATGAACCTTTCCAGGAACGACGAAAAGACCGCACAGGACTACCAACTCGAGGGCGGTGCCACACTGCATCTGGTACTTGCTCTTCGTGGTGGATGCTAGCTTCCTCCTTTCCCGAACCCACCCTACCTTCGCTCGCACCTACCGACCCGTACCCTATGACATACCCTGGGGCAGGCGTGCGCTAACTTTCCTGTCGCGCGTTTTCCACCATCAGCTCACGGAAGCGCGCGTAGCACCATGGGGGTATCTGAACATCAGAGTGATGACTGAGGAGAATGGATACTTGGTGCCTAGGTGCTGGAGTTTGTAGGGAGGTTGCTTGACACGCGGCGAAGATACTGGGCATATGACTTGGGCTAGGATATGACTTGGGCTAGGATATCGGAAGATTTGCGTTTGGTAATAATGCGGAATCCTTTTCTCGTACAATGACGCGTTACATCGTGTCTTCTTCGAGCAACCTTTTATCTCTTCAGCAGGATTGCAAATTGCGCACCCATCTCGACTAGTTCACTATTACGCCTTGCGCCCCGGATTGTACACGAAGGATTGATGCCTTGCTTTCGACAGAGAGACCCTCACAGTTCTGATGCTACTCCAAGACAGTTCTGCTATCTACCCAAGATTACGCGACGCACTTACCCTTACACAGCGTCAATCAAAGGGCCAATTTCGTGGACTGTACCATGACTCTAGAATCCGTGGAAGCCGTAGAAGCCATAGTATAGATGGCGGACAAACGCTCCTGTTATCTGTAAGGCGTAGCCGGCGTAACTGCATGTAGATTACCCCGCAGGAACACCGCCCGCAACAGCCAAGTACAAACGCGCGATGGTCACAGAAGAGCGCTCCTGGCTTCCGCATATAGACCGCCTCGTGGCCTAGATCCAGGTACCTACTCAGAAGACGCTATAAAGCTTGTTTACCTCCGCTATCCATGGTTCCGGTTCTTGAAGCTACTCATATTTTACCACAAGTCCTACATTGCGTGCCATCGTAGCTCATCCACTGTTCTTTCTACAAGAAGAGCCAAGAATAAGACGGAGCAAGATGGCGCCTCTCGACGACACTACCCCAGACAACCGGTTCGACAGTTTCAATGTTTTCAAGACGTCGTACAAGCAGATTGACTACCACGGCATCGAGGTCGGCATCCTGGTGCCAAAAGATGTGAAGCCAGGCAAATGCCCAGTCATGGTCAAATTCCACGGCGGTGGTCTGGTATGTTGATCTCTGTCTTTCGCCCTGCACGTCTTCTAGCGGCGAGGCCCGAGAATGCCACGACTTAATAACACATCACAGGTCGCAGGAGACTGCCTCTACGCCGACTGGATAGGCGCCTTCTTCGTCCCCTGGATCCACCGCACCAACGCCATCGTCGTGCTGCCCAACTACCGCCTCATCCCCGAACACAACGGCGCCGACATCCTCGAAGACCTAACCGACTTCTGGAAGTGGTTCAACGCAGGCGCCGTCGATGAAGTCCTCAAATCCCAGCCGACGATCAAGGAAAGCGGCATTAGTCTGGATTACGAGAAGACTCTGGTAACGGGCGACTCAGCAGGCGGCTACATGGCCTTGATGTCTGCTCTCACACAGCCTAAAGACAGTATCAAAGCCGTTTTCGCGCAGTATCCCATGACGAACTATCTGCGTTGCGAAAAGGTCGATGAGTTCTTTGGTCAGCCTTCTCCGCCTGAGTCTCTTATCGCCAAGCATCTCGCGGCCGTCAAGCCAGGTGCTATCGTCACTTCGGGTGTTCAACCGGAGAGGATGGGATTGAGCTATGCTTTAGCCGCCTACGGACACTATCTCACGTACTTCGGTTCTGATGAGAAGATGTGGCCGATTGGGCTGGTGGAGGAGAAGGAGTGGTTGCCGCCGACGTGGATTGTGCATGGTGACGCGGATGGGGCGGTTAGTGTGGAGGATAGCAGGAAGTTTGTGGAGAAGTGCAAGAAATTGGGTGAGGGTGTTGAGGTCAGGCTGGAGGTCAGAGCTGGCCAGGATCATGGCTTTGATATCGCGACGAAGGAGGATGAGGAGGCGTGGCTTAACGAGGGGTTGGCGTGGGTGGATGGGAAGTGGCTGCGCTCGTGATTTTCGATTGCTCATGGGCTGCCAAGTACGAGTGAATAGTAAATTCATGCCAGTTGTTGGGACACGCTCAGACAGTTGGGGGCGGAGTTTGCGCCGATGGCTTTTGAAGAGATCACGTCAACATAGGAAAAGACTGAACACCCTGCAGCCTACATCCACGTGAAGTCACCTACTTTGCATAAGCTTAAGTCAATGTAGTCTGCAGACCTATGTAAGGTAAGATGTTGGGGTTGTTATATGGGTCTTTATATGCGTGGACTTGAACTTGCCGTGTTTGGACAGCCGGGACGTGTGATAATGTTTTCTTATCTTTGGGACATGGCGACGCAAATAGCGTAGAGTCATATATATGTTATATTCCGCGAACGACGTATTACCACTCATATGATGGTCAGTGTGGTCTTCTTCTCGCGAAGAGGATCCCAGTCGATGAAGAGAGGCCACTCGCCGTTTGAGAGACGGTGCTGAAACCATCCGTGTTCAAACATTCCAATTCGTTTGAAGACCTTCTTTCCAGCCACGCGTTCAAGGATTAGACCCGTCAGCCTTTTGATCTCATGGGTTCCAAAAAGAGGCTTGACTCTATACGTGAGTAGCAATAAGACTGTTCGGTCGGCGGAATATCCGTTTCCGTATGCGCGATCGTCAAGGTGATGGAGATACAATGGCTCGTAGGCATCTCTGGAAAGGTCCAAAGGTTGCTTCAGTCGTCGTATGGGTGCCGTGACGCGAAGCTTGGCGCCCGACAATCTGCCCATTGCATCTGTACCGCTTGGATGCGTGACCACTTCAGCAATGTTCGCTGCCCAGATATCTTCGTCATACCCCCTAGGAATGCCGCCCACGTGAGCGAGTGGGAAACATACTGCGGAGTCCGCGGATGCCCATGACCAAGAAGGGGCTTGGGAAAGAATCAGACATGGGTAAGACCTCCTAACGCTTGGATATACTTACCACGATAGTCCTTTGACCGAGGTTTCTTAGGGGCAGGTCTTTCCTGGTACCACAGAAGACCGTACACAAGGTCTCGTCTCCATGTTCCAGCCACATAGTCATCCTCGGTAATGACTTGCCAGTACTTCGCAAGTCCCATGAGCGCAGGAAAACGATCTTCTTCATATGTGAGCTGGCATTTCGAGTAGTACTCCACAACGCACAGCCATTTCCTGTATACTTCTCGGATCCGAGCGACCTCGGGTGAGCACTGTTGAGGTGCGTAGATACCAAGTTCTTTGTATCTCATATCATCGTAAAGAAGATTTGCGGCACGAAAAGGGAAGCCTTCTTTGCCCCACGGGTTGAATGTACCCGTAATTGGTCCGCCGTGTGGGAATGTCTCGCAAGCGTGAAGTTCAGAGCACTCCCAGTGCAGCTTCTCACCGTAATAGATTGACCGGGGACTCAAGAGGCGCTCCTGGAGTACCCAACCACGCCTCAATAGGACACGAGCCGTCATGATAGAATCTGGTTTCAGATATGAACCGTATGTCCTATTGAACTCTGTCCGCTGCGCCCGTAGCCGACAAAGGGATACCTGTCGGGGATCTCGGTCGAGATACAGACCCACTGATTTTTCGGCGGCCGCGGAAGCTCCTAGATTACAGAATGCGTTGCTGTAAACCTGACCCATCAATGCCGCTTCTTTGTCCCAGTCTTCCGCGTCGTTCTGTATGATGCACAATGCATCAATCCATATATATGGTACTTCCAATGTGCGAGATATCTCTATCGCGTCTGCGAAGACCGGAGGGAGTGTTTTCGCATCGATGCTCGTCATTAGCTCCGCGATGTTAGAGCGGGTTAGCTTTGGCATCTGGTTTGCTGCCCACCGATGACTGAGTGTAACGTATCGAATTGACTCAGCAGAACTCCAGTCCTTAGTTTCGACGAGGAATTGGCTATCGGCATTTCGAATGTCTATCAAACGAGTCGGATTGAAACATGTCGTAGGTTCGCATCCCGGGAGGACAAGACGACGACGACACAACGTGTGGTTCTCCATGCATTCGCGCAGCCAAGCCTGTACTTGCATCCAACATGACGGATCGCGCGTGGTCGTTGCTACTGGCTTTGCGCTGGCGGGTATACGTATCCTGCCGAAGAGATCGTTTGCGTACCTTATCACTGCCTCATAACCGTTCGAGCCTTTGACGAGAGCTCGTAGAAGTATAACGAACGATGCCACACATCGGGTTGACTGATGCGTCCATAGTTCAGCGTCGATTCTCAGCTGGCCGGAGTCTTCCGGGTCCGTTTGATCAAATTCCCGTTCTTCGTTGTCGTATTCCCCGATGTGTAGAGTTGCGGAAATGTAGCCAGTTTTAGCGACGTCCGCTTTGGATCCGTTGCTGAAAGAGTCGAGCCACTTCAAGAGCCAGAAGCAGATAGGACATTCTCTGGCTGTGGTGATCAAGGTGTGGTGGGTGTAATGAGCCGGAGTCTTATTGGAAATGGATTCGCGAGGTCTCACCAGCAGGCCTTGACAGGTTGAGCACGGAGCATATGACGTCATCCTTCCCACCGAGGTACTTCCCTTTCCGACGAGATGTCAAGAAAGAAGATTCATATGTGATGAGTGATGTGAACTGAAGCAGGAGTGCTCTTACGGGACTCGGGTCAAGGTGTCTTGAGTTTGATACGGGCCCCGCAAAATGCAAGTATACTGTGCCGCATCGGATCACTAGCGACAGGCTGTACTATGTAGTGCAGATCATTTGTGCAGCACAAACGGCAAAGATGACTATATCACAGCCCGACAACCAATTTTAGAGGCTGGAATCGTGTGCGAAGAAGGATTAAACATTGTTTATATTGGCCGAAGAACTAAATATCATGTCGCCTATCCACATACAACAGATTCTCTTCCGCTATGCTAACCACCCACTGCATGATAAAAACATAAAGAAGGAAGAGAATCTGGATTAGTGTGTTGATAGGCTACACGTCTTGCAACGTGTGTGCTTACATCCTTGCTCAGAACATTGCGAACCAAGATTCCCCTTTATTAATCCAACTTTGCACGAACAGCACCCATACAAAAGTTTGAGTCCCCTGTTTTCTTGCATTTCCTTGGCTTGATTCGAGTGAACGTCTTCTTCAGGAGGGTTCTGGCTATCCAAAGTCATACGGTTGTCTGCGGAGTGAGAGTAGCTGCAATGCTAGCAACGTGAAGGAGGTGGGCTTAAACGTGGTAGGGGTGAAGGATATTCCCGATTTGTACTAGTGTTTTGACGACCCGTAGGTATATTACGATTGACAGGCTCGGATAGCTGATTAGATAGTATGCTTGGGTTGAGACGGTATGCTTAGGTTGAGATGGTATGCTTGGTTTAAGACGGTATGCTTGATTTGAGATGGTACGGTAGGCAGATAGAGATGGTATATCGAACTCGTGGTACGCGTAGTGGAGTATAGAGACCGCCGTTGAGCGTGAGGAAAAGATTCTTATAAGCCTACATCGTCTTCACAGGAGTCAATCTTCAATGAGTCGAAGTATTGACATGACTACAACGTCGGTCACAGCCGACGTTCTTCAATGAGTCGAGGTACTGTGATGACTACAATGCAAACATAAGAGTCAGTCTTCAAGGCGTAAACGTATTGTCGGCATCACAGGTACCTATCACTCACACGATATTACTCACAGAATCCATTGAATACCTCCCCACTTCACCGTACAATCGCCTACATCACTCACTTCTTCCTCGAGCCCCTCCCGCCCCTCGCACTCTTCTTCTTCCCTTTCGCAATGTCCGCACCGCGGCGACCACCAGCGATCATGACCCGTACCTTACTAACCGGCACAACACCTACTACCTCCGTCTCCTTCCAGCCCCTAATCATCTCAATCTCCTTGGGCCAAATACGCTCTACATCCTGACTGGTCTTGTCTAGCGCCTTAGCATCCTTCCCGGCGTGGTCCCAGATGGCAAGAACCTCTTTCACTGCTTTACCGCGTTTGGTAGAGCCCGGTTGGATCTTGGCTTTGTATTTGTAGGTGGAGAGGGCCGACCAGGGTGCGCATACGGGGATGGCGGTGAGGAGTTCGTCGTTGGGTAGGGGGCGGCCTGTGAACGCGTCGAGATTCTGCAGGTTTGTCTTTAGGATTTCATCGCCTTCGTCGTCGTCTTCCGCGTTCTCGAGGGCGCGTAGGCGTGCTTCTTCAGCTGCTTTGCCTGCGGCCTGGGCACGCAGATGCTGGTCTCGGCGCCGTTGCTTGTCAGCTTGTGCTTGCTCTTCCTTCTGACGCTTCTCTTGGGCAGCCGCTTCGGCAGCCTGTTGCCCGGATTTGGAACCCAGTAGGCGCATTGCTAATTCACGGTCTTCTTCGTCTTGTGCGGCGTACTTTGCGGCCTGCTTCTTTGCTTTCGCGCGCTTGCCTCGAGGTAGTGGGGCGTTCTTTGGCTTCGTGCTTTGCGTCGTCACTGTGCCGGGTGCTTTAGGCGGACTCTTTGCGCTACCGTCTTCTGCCGATGAGTTGTCGTCTTCGTCAGCATCATCAGCTGCAGGCTTTGCATCAGATGGAACCTGAGGCAGATCTTGCAATTGGCCCTTCCTTGCAAGGCGACGTTCTCTTGCAGACAACTGTCGCTTCCCGGTGGACTTTGGCGCCCGCTCAGTATCTGCTACAGAGCCTGCGTCTTCTTGAGGCTCTTCGTTCAGAGCGGAACCATTTCTACCACCAGACATGGCGTACTCGTCATCATCCTTAGCAGCTGCCGGCTCATCTTCATCGTCGGAGTCGTCCTTAGCGTCTGCTGTTCTGGACTGGAGAGGATTGCTCCTTGGTGCCGCAGCCTCAGATTCGGCGTCGCTCTCTTCAGTCTGCTCCATCTTGGCATCGGGGAAGTCGTCTTCTGAATCTGAATCGATCTTGGCGTCTGGGAAGTCCTCATCGTCATCGCTGTTGTCGGTCTTTGACGCCTCTGCTGTCTTCGATTCGTCTGCGGGTTCATTGTCCATCTCCGCGGCAGACACCGCAGTGTCTTGCAAACGATGTTTGTGGTGATTGGCCTTACTTGAATCGCTAATCTCAAACATGACAGCAAGACCAACGACCAGCTGAGCAGGTGGTAGGAATTCCTTCTTGCCCTTAACATTGAACATGCCAGCCGGAAGAAACTCCCCGGTCTGGCCCGTTTTGCTGACTTGGTCGCTTCGAACCCACCAAGCTGACATTACTGCCTTTGAATCCCATGCCTCAGATGAACAGATACAGAGGTTGCCTGCTTGCGAGAGTGTTGATGGAGGAATGGGAGCGTCAGACATATCGGGTTTGTTTTTGATGATCATCGGCATCGCTCCCTTGATGTCGGCATGAACGTATACGTCTCCCTTCCGTAAAAAGCGGCGGTAGATAATCTCGTTCTGCTGGGCATCTTTACCCCCAAGAACCAGATAGCCATCAGAGGAAATGAAGTATATGAACTTCTCAAACCATTGCTGCTTGCGCACCGGTCGCAACACCTCCTTCTCTTGCTTCAAGCCCTTCTTCAGGTCCTCGTTTACCTTCTTTTCGTGGCTCTTCAACGCCCTGGTGGATGCTTGCAGTGTGCGATCTTCTTTGTCAGCGGCTGTCTTCTTTTGGTCGAAGTACTCGGTTGAATTCGCCCAAGCGGTCAAAGCGAGGTCGATGTCGATAGCCAATTGAGGCCGAGCGGATACGGCTGGGGTCGGGGCTTTCTTCTTAGGGGCCTCATCTTCTTCGTCGGTGTCTTCGCTGACAGAACTTGTCTCATTGCCCTCATCTTCTTCGTCTCCTCCCTCTTCCCAGTTGGTCTCATCCAGCAATAGCGTGACCGTATTCTCATGCAGCTTTAGTGGTAGCTTAATGAGCTGTGCGACTGCGTTTCCAGAGTTCTGTTCACGCTCGATCAAACGCGCGATATCAACCCAGTCCATGCCTTGTCTGATCAACCCATTGACGGCTTCGGTAGCTTCTGTAACACGATGTACATTCGCCAAGATCGCTTCTGCTTTGCGGAAGTTGAGGTTTTGCACTTGCTGCAATCCACCGATTCGGTCTTCATGCTCTTTGCGCGCCTTTTCAAGCTTCTTCTTGGCCTGTTGTTCTCGCTCGGTCAACTTTGATTCCAGCTTCTGTCCTTCTATCGAGGAAAAGAACTCATCCACCGCTTTGTTGAATCCGTCGAATTCTAGGAAGGCATAGTCCGAGTTCTCGAATTGCGCTGGGCGGAAAGGATGGAAGTCGTCGTAGAGGACTCTCGATTTCTCGGAGGCTTCGTCATCGGCCGGAGGTGCGGAGGGGTTTGGCTTGGCGAGGATGAAGCCCTTGATCTGGTCTGGTGTCGTGATCTCGTCCGTGATCTTTCTTGCGTTCTGGAGCACCACGACAAGCTTTTCCAGAAGAGCATCGTCAGCGAGTACCTCCTCCGGCTTGAGGGTCGAATCGAAATTCGCGATATGCAGCGCATGGTCTACCAGCAGAGGGGGGCA